CATGAGGCATGCGCTTGGCTTTCTTGTGAAACTTCTTTCAGCCGAGCTTTTGGCCTTGATTGGACACGTGCTGTACGCTCACTTTTTGTGCGGTGTTGCTTATTGTTTGCTCAGTCCTTCGTGTGATTAAGGCCAACGTCTGTACAAGACAACCCCCACCCATCGACTGCTGTCTATTGTACCTGCCATCGTTTGTTGTTCCCAGGCCTGTGTGTGACAGGGCCATCGTCTGCAGAGGCCTGCCTTGACGCGCTACACCACTCGTCTGTCATCATGGGCTACGTCGAGTTGTTAAGGTGATTTCACGGTTTCATTGTACCATAAGCGAAGCTGTGTTGTTTTTTTCTTACAAGCCGTAAAAGGACTTCATCTCTTCCACAACAGATAGTCTGCTGTGTGTTTTTCTTAAGGCGCTGGGCTACTATCAAGGTATCATACGCCGGAGCCAGCGATGTGGACTTCTGTGTCCATTGCGTCCGCTGGTCTAATTACTCAACCTTTTTGCAAGTTAACAACGTTTGGGCTATTTTATTTTGCGGCACGTCCTCCCATGATGCGTTTGGTCGGAAACTGCTGTGGTGCAATTGCTGTGGCCGTTCAGGTTATTTTCGAAGGTAGATGCTGGTAAATGCTGACGCCGTTGCTGTTGCTGAGACTATCGGCGGCTTGGATGGTGATGGCGACATTGCGATGCCCGAATATTGGCGTTGCAGTTTTGTTGTCGTCGGTGTGGATGTGGTATTCTGACGGATGTCTCGGCGACGCTGACCACATTTTTGGGGTGCCACGCACTCTTTTCAAAAATATGTCTAGGCCGCTCTCTCACAGCCCAGCAATCCTTAACATGTCGAGCTCTGACGGGCAGTCGTTTCAACCCAGCATCCATTCATGCCTCCCGAACCATTTTGAACAATGTCCGACCGGAATGCTTTCGCCGACTGCTACGGCTGGTGCGCGTACTCACGTGTATGTCGATGTCGATGTCGATGTCGATGTCGATATCCAATGTTGTGTACAGGAATCCGATGGAGGAGCTGGGGCGGCAGTGCGACTACTTCACGATGATGAGACATCCCATCGATCGCCTGGTATCGGCTTTCTACTACTGTCCGACCGTGAACGACAAGCAGGTTCGGCCGAGTAAGGTGAGAACCCGACCTGCCCCCGGCCCTCGGTGCCATTTACATTTTTTATTTTTGAATTGTGAACATGTAGAAAGGTTTCCCTCTTTGGGTGGGTTATAGGTTGGCTTGTGAACAGGGAAGGCGTCCGCCTCAGATGGATCGGTACGGGCACTACAAGGTACATGGTGGATACAACGGTTTTTATAGTGCTGTCAAGACAACCAACAGTATGCCATTGCATCTGTCGACCGATCTTGGTTTCCCCCCAAAACCAACAACATATAACAAACGAATATTGGTGCTGCCTGCGCGCCTTTGCACAACACTCTATTCAGACCCTCCCGTAGTGTAGTGTTGCCGAGGCACACGCACACGAAAGCACGAGAAGGCTGATTTGTTGTTGGATAATTGCACTTATTTGTTTTTTTCTCTGTGTTTTGGAGACGTCTCGTGCTCACATCAGCAGGGGTCTCATATGTACGATGGGAGAAATGACCGCACATGATCTTTGTCGTTTGCTTTCGCCTTCCTTCTGCTGCCTGACTTCTTGCTCGCCCTCGCCCTCCTCCTCCTGCGCCTTCGGCTGTTCTCTCGGGCATGACCAGTGGTGTGGGGGTCAAAGCCACCCGGAACCGTTAACATCTCGGCTGCTAGGCTTTGCGAGGGAGGACTGGATGTGCAAGGCTATGCTCCAGCTCAGCTTCGCCTCTTACTGCCCCCCCGGCGCCTTCTGCGAGCAGGATATGGTCGACAACCCACCGACGCATCTCAACGACGTTGAAGACTGGAGTCTGCTGGCCGTCGCAGAGGTGAGGGCAGTTACAATACACGTTTTTTTTGTCTTTCAATACCGCAGCAAGCGTACCATGCACCTTTGTACACACCCGACCAAAGACGGTTAACCTTTCAGTGACTTATGGTCTCCTTGCGGGCGGCGTACTGTAAGGATGTACACACGACGTCACTTGGCAATATTCGTTTCCCTCCCTCTCACCCAAAACAGGACGTCCTTCTGAGCTACACCGCTGTGGGAATTTTCGAGGAATGGGAACTGTCGATGGAGCTGTTTGACGCCGTAATCAGCAGCCCGGTGCAACAGTGGGGCGGCGGGGAGGCCGTCAACCCGGGCCCTCAGTCGGGCGAGCGAGAGATGCTGCTTCGGTGGGCGCATAGCTCTCCTGAGATAAGGCAGGCCGTGGGGGGAGACCTCCTGCTGTACGACCTAGCGCTGTCGATCTTCAAGAGGCAGACCGCGGAGGCGCTGGGGACGGTTTGGAAGAACGGCGGGACGAGCTTAGCGAGGGAATCGAAAAAACTTGGATCGTACTACTGAGTGGACGGTACGGTCATCCACGGGTACTGGACCTCTGGAACCCCGCTTGAGCAGGCAGACCCGTGCTTGCGGATACCCCCGCGTCTGCGTGCACCGTCGTGTGTTCGTTGTGTTCTCCTGGTACATGTTGACCTTGTCTCTCGTGTGTTATAAGCCTATATACGTTGGTGTAGAGGGTGGAGAAGAGCTTAGCATGATTGAGCCGGGTTTCGATGCGGCTTTCGCATCTTTGACAGCAGTGGCCACGACTACCCCCACCCGCAGAACAACAGCCAGGGGGGGGGGGGGGGGCGGAGGGGAGTTCGCGTTTCTGCTGTGAGCTTGGGTCAAGCTTGGAGAAAACCGAGCGGGGGCAAAGCACCCGCTCCTCTCCGAAACACCTGCGGTGCCATATGTTGAATATGGGCAACGGCAGGCGTGACGTTTCGGTGTCCGTGTGACTTGTTCTGTTGGTTGTCGGTACACAGCGATAATAGTGCTGCCATGCGCGTGCTCAGCCCCACCCGTGTTTGCTGTGTAACGCCTTTCGTGTTATGCCATCTCGTCATTCTGTTTGCTCCTTGGTAGCGTAGACGATATAGACGCTATAGTAGCTCTTCAGGTGCGGTGGGCTTGTGGCTCGTGCCGTAACGCGTTGCCCGCGAAAGGAGAGCTGCCACTGGCATGCATACGCGTTGTGGAGTGTAGTATTTTTTTTTTTAATGTTCGTCCCGCAAATATGTCCTTGCCGGGATCCCGCGATGGCAACCCTGTGGTCAGGATTTTGCTTAGCCCCTGTGGCCTGATAACACAGCCGCAGGCGGTGATTCCCCTAGATTCGAGAGCAGTGCATGGGACCCCCGGTTACTGTGTCAAAGAGATCGCCGATCAATGGAGGTGATGTGTGTGGTAGCAACAGCGCCAACCAGGCGTCGATCCCGTGGTAACTAGCAGTTTGCGACAACCACGATAGGAGTGCTACTGTAGTTGCTGTTGGTTATGCGGAGGACAAAGCCGAGGAGAACTGTTGCCCTTCTTCGCGTGCTGCCGCTTCGTGTTTGTTTCCTCGGTTGATGTCCGTTGACGGAACCTACTTTAGTGGTGGCGAGGGTAGTGCGTTATATTAGTACGATGGTGCAGTGTTTGTTTGGGCAGAGTGGTGTGTCCAACTCCACTCCGCCCTAGGGTTTCCTTTTCCTTTCTCGTTTTCGTTTTTTGTCGCTGTTCAATTTTGATGGATCACCCTTGTTCCTCGTCGTCGCGCTGTTAGTGTCGCATTGCCAATCATGGTACATAGAACAGGACCCACAAGTGGTTGCCGTTGTTGATTCCTCCCGAAGTGCGTTCGAGTCAAGGCTGGAGGCATGCGCATGAGTACGCCGTAGGTCGTCTATGAAAGACCTATTTGCAAAGCTCGACTGCAATACCTTGTATTGAAAAATGGTGGCCATGCCGGCGTTTGAACCGCCTCGTCAAGACCTCCACTCACTGAAAAGACTCCAACACGTCCCGTTCGACTGTGGGTATATATCGAATGGGTAGGTACTCGTGTTTGTGTTATTTTTTCCTAAAGCGACACGCACATCTTGTGACACATATGGTTTGCTTGGCCGCTCTGCCGCCAACGAATGGGCCGGTTTGTCATCGGTTCGTCATCCTTGACCCTTAGAAAATCGCTTTTTTGCGTTGGGTCTCCGCCAAATAGACAACTGCTGCTGCCATTTTCACCAGTTGTTTTCTACGGTATCAGGGTCACCGACGGCAACGTCAGGGTGGATCAGTCCCCACAAATGCACGAGTTTTTCTTCACGCTCACGCGCGAAGTGAAAGGGGGACTCCACCCCACAGTTAAGACACCTGGGACCAAAGTCGCGTCTGACTTGGTCCCGTTCTTGGCGGATTCGCAAACTGAACGTAGAACGGCGGTTCGTCATTGTTCGGGCCAAAACCCCTACGGACAAGAACTTGGCTTCCTTGCCAGAGTTATCTGCTTTCATCCTCGAATTGCGCAACAGATATATATGATGTTACGTGCCCCCACGCTACAGTGATCGGGCGAGGATGACGCAGTGTTTTTCACACCCGCAAACGTTGCACTACCACCACAGCCACGTGAACCAGTCGAAGCAACAGTCTGTCCTCGAGACAGGTCTGCTCCAACGCCAAGCAAACGTGCAGCGGCGGTAGCCTGTGCCGTAACGTCTGCCATGCCGCTAGAACATTCATCAAATCCCCGAGCGAGTCATACGGTAACGCTCGATCATTGCGACCCTTTGAAAGACTGGCGCCGATAGCGTGGCGAATTGGTCAGCGACTCCCACCTACACGGTCGTCTGCAGTGTACCATCTTCGGCGAAGCCTATGGCGTCTGTACACTTTCTTCCAACACCTCCAGGTCTTCGAGGTGTGCCTTGAAGGTAGTACCGGGGGGAAGGGTGAAGTTCTGTCCAACTTTCGACTGCCATCCCCACGTCTGTCAAACAGATGCGTTTAAGTGCCCATGACTTTGCCGAGGATCACTGGATCCAGGGCTGAGAAGAGGTCCTAGAACGTCATTTGGTTTGTTCTGTCCGCAAAAACCATCCCAAATCTTCTTCCACGAAACAGATCTTAGTAGCGGCGGTCAACGCGGCCTCCAAGGGGATTCGGGTACGAGTCGCCCAGATGCGCTCCAGCTGCTTCTGCGGTCGGTCTGAACGGGTTACGCACCGTGACGCGGGCTCTGGTTCTGCTAGAGTTGCAGAACTTCACCGCTCCCCCCGGTACTTCCTTCAAGGCATACCTCGAAGACCTGAAGGTGTTGGTAGAAAGTGAACAGATGCTATAGTCTAGGCTTTGCCGAAGATGGTACACTACAGACGACCGTGTAGGCGGGAGTCGCTGACCAATTCGCCACGCTATCGGCGCCAGTCTTTCAAAGGGTCGCAATAATCGAGCGTTACCGTATGACTCGCTCGGGGATTTGATGAATGTTCTAGACGGCATGGCAGACGTGATGATACGGGCAACCTCCGCTGCACGTTTGCGTGGCGTAGGAGCAGACGTGTCTAGAGAACAGGCTGGTGTTTCGACTGGTTCACGTGGCCGGGGTGGTAGTACATCGTTTTCGGGTGTGAAAAACACTGCGTCATCCTCGCCTGTAGCGGGATGAGGGGCAGGGTCATCAGGTTCTTTGTAGCCATGACGGCAAAACGACCTCTCACACTGTTTTCCTGCGTCACATCTTCTGGGATCCACTTCACCGGCGGCGTAGCAGGCATGGACTCCGCTACCGGAACCGGCACAGACTTCATCGGCACAGTTTTTCCGCTTTTGATCGGTTCAGATTTTGGGATTGGCTCTGCATTAGGTTTCACGTCGGTCAGAGACTCAGGCTTCACTGCGGCTACCGACTCCGACGTTTCCTCCGTCGTGGGTTCAGCGGACTCAACCTCAGGCGCGGAGTCGGCGCATACCGAAGGGACATCAACTTGCGCCGTCAATTTCGACACTGCAGGCCCCGGGGAGAGTTGAGCTTTCCGTACACGACGGGCGCGCTCGCTACCACTCCAACTACGACTTCGGGATTTGTACCTACCTCCCTCCTCCGGTGTTTGCCATCGGGGTTGGGTTTTCGTCGCTTGGCAACGACGTTGTCAAACACGTCCCCCCTCGGTGTTTGCCATCGGGATTGGGTTTTCGTCGCTTGGCAAAGACGTTGTAAAACAAGCCAAGTCACTTCGTGAACTCGGCAACCAGGTTACCGTTCGTTTTTTTTACCTGTGTTTTTTTTTGGGCGGTAACCATAATGGTGGTCGAGTAGATCATGTTGTGCGGGGTGGAGAACCCTCACTCCGCACAAGGGGGATGATCGCACCACGTTGTGTTAAAATGGTCAAGCACCCTCGAGGCAGTTACACAGTGCTTAATTAAGTCATACGCTGCTGTCATCCGTACGCAAGGAAGTAAGCACAAAATGCCGAACACCCTTAGCAGGATGCAGCGCACCCTTCATG